ATGTTCAAATGGTTGCTAAATTCGAATTCAGCTCCAAAAACTAGCCTAGAAACATGTAAAACTCGAAAAAGTGAACCGAGGTCACCCGAGGTCACCAAAGGTCAATGACCTGACCTGACCTTCAGGTGACCTTGACACCCACCCTGATGTATGGGAGCAACATCAAATCACATGTTTGAACGTTTGAAACCACGAGAAGCTTGCAAACGCGCGGCTAATGCGAGCCGACATACGCGAAATCGCGATTCCGGCCAAACATGGTCTCGGAAAAGAGGTCACAGGTCAAAGGTCATTTGGGTCAGGGTCATGAAATTTTCAGGGTAGGTGTAAAATTGATCAATGCGAGGGTACTGAAAGTTTCGTCGCGATCGGCCGCTTTTTACGCGAGTTATTCGCGAAAAACCGAGGGGGGGTCCATCCGACCCCCCCCCCCCCCTATGTACACATGCGAGGGTTAAATTCTGACCAGTCCAGATGCTTTCACGCACTTAATACGCAGCACAGTGAAGTAATATCAAATGGACGAGATTTTTCCGACGAGATTTGAGCTTCATATACATTAGATGGCAACTTCTCGCATTTTTCAATCATCCGGTGCGCTGCAGATGACGTTAGGGCGGAGGTCGATCCGTTTTTCATTTCCTAATGTCTGCGTGGCCGACAGTTGAGGGCTCTCCTCGTCAGCCGAAAACCTCCGGCCTGTTCCACTCTGTCCTGCCGAGTGACGCTCGAGCGGCTCCAACTATCGAACTCCGAGGGACTGAATGGCACTTATTAGACCCGATGAATGAGCTTCTCTCTGACGGTAGTAGGAGCTGGATTCGCTGTTTTCAGCGGTCTTAGTGTGAATGGTGCTTATTAGAGGCGGTGAATTCGGGATTTCTCTAAGGAGTTAGATAGCTGAGACTGGATTCAACGTTTGAATTTTGATATTCCGAAGAGAAGCTGGTAGTTCAGAAAGTAAACGCTTGGTCAAAATATCTGCATTGATTAAGTACAAATCACAGCTCTAGTCATGTGGTTGGAAATGTCCTTGGTTCTTTTAGCCAAGATACTTTGCAGCATATGTTCATACATTTATTATAGCCACCAAATATTTTATCGCTGCCATCAGATTTGTCGATGCATTAACAGCGCGGGACGATCGCGGGCCCACCGAACTTCCCCGCTGACCTAATTTCGACGCATGTCAAGAGTCCATTATCACTCATTTCCGGCCCAATGGAATTTCATCAGGCAGAATGAGCTGCCGGACCGCCTCCTCCTCCGTGGACGTCCATCACGGCTGCCCCGACCCCGCGGCACGGCGCACTTCATCACCGCACTGATGGAGCACCCGGCCTGATCGCCGCGACCCCGGGAAACAGACGCGGCTCGCTACAGACGCACGGCTCGCACGCGGAGACAGACAGGCGCGCCACAATGGCACCGCGCTCAGGTTCCTGGGAATCTGGCCACCTGCTGTCGCCGCGCTCAATGCTCCCTGGACACGGACAGTGGGTGCTCGACCCGCGCACCCACGCGGCCGACCAGCCCTCGGGGGGCGGCGGCGACCCGCCCCTGGAGACCTCGCCCCGGTGACAGACCTTCTCTCGGTGTGACAGACCTCACCTCGTTGTGACAGACCTCGCTCCGGTGCGGTGTTCCGCTGACGTGGCCGGCTGGCTGAGACGGACCGGGACAGACCCCGCGGGTCGATGTGAGCTGCACAGTGACTGAATAGCGAGCTGCCGCGCGGCCGGCGGCCGGCGGCCACTGCCGACTCCATCCGACACTCGGGTAATGTGGTGAGGGGAGTTAGCCGCGGGCGGCGCGGCGCCACGCCGCGAGCCGACCTTTCCCAGGCGGAGCCGACCTTTGGACGGACGGAGGCCGACTATGGCAGACGACTCAGTGGATGGCTCCGGGTCACAGCCATTCACCGGCTATGGGAGACGGTCCTGTTACGTGGAGTCAACCTGACAGGTCTGGGTGAAACTTCGCAGAAGTTCTGAGCGCAGCGACAACCGGCGGCGCACGTTTCATAGGAAACCATACACTTGAATGAAATAACATTAGCCAGCTTCCTGTTAGGGACTTGTAGCCTGTGACGATATTGTGGCTTCTCTTGTTTTTAAGTACGGTGTAAGTGTAACGCCATCTTATTAGGTGTTTCATTAATTGTTTAAGTCAAACATATTTGTCAATTTAGTATATCGCTGATGTTAAATGCAGCTTGATTTGATACATTTTAGTTCTTGTTACACTCGCTTTTGTGCCGTTGGCATTTTATTTCAGGCATCTGCATATTATTAAAAAAAAACTCTTCAGCTTTATTCGATGTAAGGCATCTCGTGAAATTAATGGCACATTGTGTTCTGCAATCTTTGTTCAGTTATATAAAATAAGTCGGTTATGCAGCATACTTTTCATCGTTTTACGCCATGACTCTGGCGGCATTTTATCGCCATTTTAGCGTCAAGTGCTTATGTTATTGTGATTAAACTCGTAAATAAGCCGATAAAACTGCTTTCGTGACCCTAATTTCAGTTGATGTGACGCTGATTCCAGTTATCAAAAGAATGCTTTTGAGGATCGTTGCTGTTTTCTACAAACCGTGGACTTTTAAATTTCTTGACATAAATTTGATATATTTTGCCCTCATCCAAAGCACTTAAATGTCTTCGAGATTAAACTCAACTGAATGGTAATTTTACAATCATACCAGGAAGCAGAGAAGCGTCCTAAAACTGTGATTCCAGAAACTGTTTTACTCAATCATATCTTGGCTGTCAGGCTCACGCTTTCCGGCTGGAGTGGCGTATCGTTCAGCTCAATGAAATGCGGCACGCCTCTGTCCTGCATTGCGATATGCTCTGCAATAGTCGGCCGGTGGCTTCACGCGCCTCGCCGGTGGGATTTACCTGCTGCAAGTGGTTTCCGTTTGGTGATGGTGGTGGTGGTGGTGGTGAGGGGAGGGGTCAACCTCTTCTATCTTCACAGCCCCGACCGCAATCTGTTCGTGATCTGTCCTCACGGGCTGTCCACTCCGTCCGTAGTTGTCCACTCTGTCCGCGGTCTGAGTCTGTCCCCAGACTGTCCGTCCCCAGACTGTCCGTCCCTAGACTGTCCGTCCCCAGTCTGTCCGCAGGCTATCCCCAGCTGTCCGGAGACTGTCCGCATCGTATCCGCAGACTGCCCGCAATCTGCCCTCAGTCTGTCCGCAGTCTGTCCGCAGTCTGTCCTCAGTCTGTCGGCAGTCTGCCCGCAGTCTGCCCGCAGTCTGCCCGCAATCTGTCCGCAGTCTGTCCGCAGTCTGTCGGCAGTCTGTCCGCAGTCTGTCCTCAGTCTGCCCGCAGTCTGTCCTCAGTCTGTCCGCAGTGTGTCCTCAGTCTGTCCGCAGTCTGTCCGCAGTCTGTCGCCGGGCGTTTCTCGTTCGCCGCGCGGTCCGCCGGCCGGTTGACGGTCGTCTGGAGGCTGTCCACAGTCTGCCCGCAGTCTGTCCACAGTCCCTACCAGTCTGTCGCCGGCGGTTTCTCGTTCGCCGCGCGGTCCGCCGGCCGGCTGATGGCCGACACCGCTCGCTAATGGTGCGTCCCGGTGGCCGCCGGATCTGCTCAGTGTTCGACCACCGATGGGCGGGTCAGGTCACCCTGTCGCCGAGCCGGCCGCCCGAACTGCCTGTCCAGCACCAGTCCGACCGCCCGAACTGCCTGTCCAGCACCAGTCCGACCGCCCGAACTGCCTGTCCAGCACCAGTCCGACCGCCCGAACTGCCTGTCCAGCACCAGTCCGCCCGCCCGAACTGCCTGTCCAGCACCAGTCCGACCGCCCGAACTGCCTGTCCAGCACCAGTCCGCCCGCCCGAACTGCCTGTCCAGCACCAGTCCGCCCGCCCGAACTGCCTGTCCAGCACCAGTCCGACCGCCCGAACTGCCTGTCCAGCACCAGTCCGACCGCCCGAACTGCCTGTCCAGCACCAGTCCGACCGCCCGAACTGCCTGTCCAGCACCAGTCCGACCGCCCGAACTGCCTGTCCAGCACCAGTCCGACCGCCCGAACTGCCTGTCCAGCACCAGTCCGACCGCCCGAACTGCCTGTCCAGCACCAGTCCGACCGCCCGAACTGCCTGTCCAGCACCAGTCCGACCGCCCGAACTGCCTGTCCAGCACCAGTCCGCCCGCCCGAACTGCCTGTCCAGCACCAGTCCAACCGCCCGAACTGCCTGTCCAGCACCAGCACGTCTCCGTCCCCATGTTGTCGTGACCATCCTGTATTCCTCGGGAGTGGTCTAACTCAATGTTTAACTTTCTACCTTAAAAAAATGTGTGAGGTAGACCAGAGATTCTCTAAGCAGAGCCACGTTTAGCGATTTGACTTGAGATAATTCCCGATAAAAGCCACGGTGACCTGCACACTCCACGGTGAAGGGTTTATCATAACTACCTACTGGGGTGCTGTCACGTCCTTCTGTTGATAGCTCTTCGACCTTCAACCTTTACGTTTGAGACACCGAGGGCACAAATACATTCGTTCAATGGCCGGATGAATCATTTCAGTATATCCAAACAATCTCCGAGCAAATCGGTGACATTACCTGGCCAAACACGCCGTTCACGGCTTGTTGCGGAAGCACAATGCACTGGATGCCTGTATTCGTTGTACCTACAGTATTCAGTTTAGTTGAATAGCTGTATGAAAGCCGACCCGTGCTGCTTGAGTGACTGATCTTTGATTGCTAATGCGGAAAGGCGATCTGCTCCGCTTGTAAAGCGTTCCCTGTACCTATCGCTCGCTCGCTCGTTCGCTCAGCTCAATACACTACATATCGAGCTTCAATGGCACAAGTTCGCGAGATATCTTGTCAGCACACTGTGAACACACTGCCAAAGACCGAGTCTGTGATGGCTGCCGGATGGGTATGCCCGTCGATTTGTGGATTACTCACCAGTGTAGCTTTATGTACTTAGCTGAAAACGGTGGCTGCACCTGTATCAATACTGTTCTCTGTTTTGTTTCAGAGGTAATCGCCGAAGCTGTGAAACTGCCTTCAGAGAGACCACTGCAGTCTTTGTGGGACTGGCAGGTCGCGACTGGTGACGGCCACCGAACTGGTGACTCGCGGCTGGTGAAGGCTGGTGCTGGATGCTCGGTGTGGTGACGATGGCCGGTGACCGGTGACGAGTGAGCGGTGACGAGTGACTGGTGATAATCGGTGACCTATCAACTGTGACGGCTGCACAGAGGGTGTCAATCAGCGGGGTCAATGATGAGTGAATCGACCACATCTCCAGCTGAGCTGAACGTCTCGTCTCGGCCGCTGGCGGCGCTCCGGTCCGGCTATGACCTGCCCGTGTACGGCCTCGACGACGGTAACTTTCTGAGGCTGCACGTGGTGGCGCTGTCGCTCATCTTCTGCAGCCTGGCCTGCGCCATCGCCGTGGTCGTCTGGAGCTTCCGCACACACACCACCAAGTTCTTCACCTGGTCACAAGGTGGGTCAGCGTATAGAGGTGGATCGATGGGAGCCTTTCGTCCGCTGATAGGCGTCAATAGTGCTTGATGAGTTGCCAGGGAAGATGCTGGATACTCTTTGTTTGTTGCTTATTTCCTTATTACTTTTCTTGTTTGTCGTTTTTTCCTTCTCCCCGGAGAGAACGCGACGACGGTGGGCAGACAGGAAGGATTGCCTCACCAGACGCGGTGTAGGGTGACGCGCGCGGCCCTGTTAGCGACAATGACCGCCGGCCTCTGACCTTCCAGGAAACACTAATGGTCGCGCTCCTCGGTGAAAAAAAAACTAAGGACGTGACGAGAAATGCCTACATCATACCTCCTTTTTGTGCCTTTTTTATCAACAGCGTCGTGATATTGCCCCAGCCGGACGATGACATAGCAATAGAGGTGGGGGCTATATGCCAAAGTAAATGTGCGCAAATAAAAAAAGAGAAAGAAGTTGTGCATTAAACATGAGCCGATAAACAGGCAGTTATCATTTTCATTTTGTATCTGCAAGATCCAACATTTGTATTTGTATTTTACATCATCGGCACTCTTCCACTCAAGGTGGCTATTCCGAGCCCTCGTCAAAACAGTAAGCGCGTTAAAAAGACACATAAACAGTTAAACCTGCAAAAGTATAAAAGCATGCTAAAAACTATAAGCACAGCTAAAATGTTTGTATCGTCGCCTATCCATCTATCTGACTAGGTGGCTTTGAATACCTTTCTTAAAACGCGGACCAGACATGACCTGAAGCTCCGTTCCTATGACATGTTCGTTGTACAGTTTACACGCTCGCTGCTTAAAAGTTCTTTGACCAAGGCTGGTTCGAACACGCGGTACATGTAAATGACCGGACTGCCTAGTCTGGCGCTCGGAAACATCTCTATTGTACGATATGTCCTGTCGCAGTACCTCACGCTCACCCCGTGTAGCAGACACACGTCGTTCATGTCAATCAACGCACTGACGGGGAGCCACTCCAAATTCCTAATCACGTCGGACACATGATCATACTTCCGTCTGCCAGATATCACTCTGGCAGCAAAGTTTTGCACTTTCTGCAGTCGCTTTAAGCTCATTTTGCTGGCACAGCCGAATACCTGACTACAATAGCGCACATGTGACATGACTAAGGCGTCCCGTATAGTCGGAAGTACACTTGGAGGAAGCACATGCCTGGCGTGTATCAAGATAACAAGAACGCCTAAACATTTGGTGACGATATAACCAATGTGTGGTTCAAAGGTCAGTCGGCTATCAAAGATTACACCTAGATTTTTAACAGTTGACACCGGTTGCAGAGTCTCTCCCAGGAACTGCACTCGGACCGGATCCCTCTCGGCAGCCTGTAGCGCCGATCGGCCTCCGGCGACCATCATCTCGGTTTTTGCAGCGTTTATCTTCATGCCGTTCTGGAGAAAGTAGGTGGCCAGAGTGTCCAGGACACCCTCCAGTGCAGTATGGATCTCTGGCAGCCTCTCCTTGGGTCCTGAGACGACCAGCTGGGTGTCATCGGCATACCTGGCCATCCTGACCATGCTGCCATTCACCTCGGACGGCACGTAGCAGGCGGCGCTGATGGAGGCGATGTTGTACAACATCGGTCCCAGGCAGGGTCCCTGGAAGATGCCGATGTTGATGGGGAGCAGCGTCGATCTCTCCCCTCCTGGCACCTGAACACACTGCTTGTGTCCGGTGAGATAGCTCCGAAACCAGCCCGGGTCTATCTGAAGCAGTTGAAGTTGATCCAGCAGGGTCCGATGGTCCACAACATCAAACGCGCGGCTGAGATCAATTAGCGTCAGGATGCTGATGTCGCCCCTGTCTGCTGCTTCCAACAAGCTGTCGTTCACACTGACGAGTGCTGTAGCGGTGCTGTGCTTTTGTCTGAATCCATGCTGCTCCAAGCTATACAGATGGTTTCGGTTTAGATAGCCATCAACTTGACGGCAGACGACCTTCTCGACAATATTACTGATAACAGGAACGTTGGTGATGGGTCTGAAATTTCCTGCAGTGCTCAGGTCACCTTTTTTGTGCAGCGGTATGACGACTGCTGTCTTCCAGCTGTCTGGTACAGACTCCGACACGATGCTCTTGTTGATTATTTGCAGCAAGATCCGTCCAACGACGGGAAAGCTCAGCTTCAGCACCCTGATGTCGATGGCACCATCAGCGAGCGATGATTTGTCTGGCAGAGAGTATATGATGCGTCTCAGCTCCTCCAGAGTGATCGGGGTGAGTCGCAGTGCGTCAGAGTGGACGCGAGGGAGACGGGCAGCCAGAGCACGTCTCCCAGACTCCTGGAACGTCCGGATGGCGACCTGGTGTGTTTCCTCTCCCACGGTGGTGAAGTATGAGTTGAGGTCATCTGCTGACAAGTTCTCAGGCCGGGCCGGAGCGCCGCGCTTCGGCGCAATAACTGCACGCAGCTGCCGCCAGAGGCCCGATGCCCGAACATGGTATATTTTAAACGGAGCGCACACTTCGCAGGGCACTATACCCGCTGTATATAACTGCATAACCCTCGCCGGACCTATTGGTTTTCTACATACGCGCCGGTCGAGGGGGGGGGGGGGTACGGCCGTTTCGCCTCTGGTGGAGCTAGCGTGTCCCGGAAAAAACGAGCGTGTTCGCCGTTACGAGACGCAGAGATTGGTACCCGATTATAAGGTTCTAGGTTAACCGGTGACCTCTGAGGTCAGGTCAAGTGCCCCAAGGTACGGTTCAGTTTTTTGTGAATAACTTCGCAAAAAACGGTCGCAGAGCCGCGATTTTGGCAGCATCGTGTTCGCCTCGCTCAGGCGCGTCGTATGACATACTTTTTGTTTGGGTGAGGTCAACTTGGGGTGTTGACCTCAGGTCACGGTCAGGTCAGCACCCCCAGGTCACGAAATCGGTCGAAGTAGGTCATGTCGCATATCATTCGATTCGGCAGGTCTTCCTGAGTCCATTGGTGGCTTTCCTGACTCGCTAGCGCAATTCGATCGGGAGTTATTGACGAAAAACTAATATGACCCTAATGACGTCATAAATGACGTCACGCAAGGTCAACATTGCAAAAGTGAGCATCTAACCTTGCAAGGAGTGCACCAAATCACGATTCTGTGTGCTTGAGATAGTTGGAGATCGTTTCCGGCGCCAGAATAGCAGTTTTCATTTTTGCCCATTGGCTTATGTACAGTCCACAGCAGAAGTAATGTGTGGTTAGTCATGGGTATGTTCTGCTTCTGAAGTCTAGGAACGATTAGCCAGACTGCAACGAGACTTTAAATGTAGCTTACATGTATCTTCACCCTTGCAGCTACGACTTTATCTATTGACGTCTTCTTTTCAATCCGCATTTAAAAATCGTCGGTCAAAGCCATCCGTTGAGATTGGTAAAACCACACATTACTTTGGCGGTGGGCTGTACGTATAATGGTGAATTGGTGAGGTCACGAAAATGACCTGACCTCATATTGTTGGCGTTCAACATTTGATTCTCGTTTCGCCGCTGCCAGTCCGAAACTCCACCGAATGTCTTCTTGCTGTATTCCACCACGGACAATGCACACGCACAACCTGCTCTCACCAACTCCACGGTCCAACAATGCGCCCACCTCGCGTCCGGCACAGCCACGGCAACGGCGCCCCAGGCGGCGCGTCCGGCTCGCGCAAAGGCGCGGCCAGCGCCGCGGACCGGGGAGGATGGCCGCCAACGGCCGGCCGCCCGGTCACCGGAGCCGAGCCAGTCCCACGCAGAGGCGGAGCCAGGGACCGCCGGCAACTGACCGGCTCAGCCAGCGGCGCGGCGAGGTGCCGGGACCGGGGCCACGCGCCACAGCACAGACGCGCCGTAACCGTCACAACACAACACAACGCCGCGCAGTGGTGTACGAAGCTTCACCTGTATCATCACCCCCCTCCACACCACTGCACGGCGAAATAGATAGAAATAGGAATGTGCACACACAAAAGACGACAACAGTACAGTATTTAGAAGGAAATAAATGCCGGCTCGTTAATCCATCACATAGTCCGCAAATCTCACCGGCGGACGACGCGCGCGCTGGGAACGGCGCAACGAGGGAACATCAAACCGCACCTTAAGGGCTCCACGCAGACCGGGTGACGTCTGCTGCGCGGATACTCGAGTCGCCACCGGCGAGGTACCCGTCGCCGCATCAGTCATGAGGCGGGATGAATGTAGTCCAGCCGAAGAGGAAGGCGGCGGAGGCGCTGCAGACGCCACCGGCGAGGTACCCGTCGCCGCATCAGTCATGAGGCGGGACGAGTGTGGTCCAGCCGAAGAGGAAGGCGGCGGAGGTGCCGCAGACGCCACCGGCGAGGTACCCGTCGCCGCGTCAGTCATGAGGCGAGACGAGTGTATTCCGGCAGAAGAGGAAGGCGGCGGAGGCGTTGTAGACGCCACAGGCGACGCCTCGGCCACCGCGCCAGCACCCGGCCGAGGTGACTCCAGCGGCGGAGGCGGCGACATCCGAGATGCGTCCTGTGACCGCTCAGCCGAATCGACCGCAGACGTCTCCTGCAGCGAAGGGTCAGGAGCCACGGAGATCAGATCCTGCATGCAGCGGCCCGATCGCAGCAGGTAGGCCGGCGGCTTCTTCCACGGACGCAGCTGTGAGTGATGGACTCGCTTCTCTTGTCCGTCTTCCGACTTGACGATGTAAGTAACGCCGTTGTTGTTGACCCGTGTTACAACGAACGGGCCATCGTAACGGCGCTGGAACTTGTTGACGAGCATGTTCCCTGGGTGGTGGGCTTCTTTCTTGACAAGTTCGCCGACCCTAAATGGGGCGAATTCCGGGTGACCAGGCTTCCAGGAGTTCTGTATTTCCGAGGACACGATGGGGCCACTGACGCCACCGTGCTTGCGCTGGAGCAGGAACTCGGCAGGAGATTCTTTTAGCTCAGAGTGCCGAGTAGTATTGTAGGTGACCAGGGCGCGGGCCAGCTGTCCATCCCAGTCGGCAGCGGAGTCCGACAG